ACATCAGTATACATAATTACATGTCAGAAGTTAATATTAAGAAGTACAGGCCCCTGAATACGAACGAGTAGGTTCACGAAGAACGTCAAGAATAGGTTTGCTGGCATAAAAAATGATTCATTGAAAATTTAGTTGCCTTTTGTACGCTGCACGCTGCTCTAAAAAATGACGGAGTTGTAAAATCTACAGACTCCGCAATGTGGCGATAGCGCCACGCCGATTTTTGGGCTAACTGGTTAGTTTATTAGTTTTCTGTCCCTACCCATTGACAAGCAATGTCAGCCTAGCGATGAAAGTGGTGTGGAGCCTCTGAAACGTCAAAAAACGAAGTTTGAGAGACTTTTTTCAGGAGTTTGCCCCTAGCTTTGCCGCCACTGGATCGATTTTCAAAATCTATAAACTTTTTTGTTCTTGGCATAATAGTAGACTTGTGTGTATTTTGTGTGTATTTTCCAAGTTATAGACGATAGACGAGATATATATAATATCCAAAAAACATAACATCACATTTCGAGTTTTTTTTGTGACTACAGTACTTTCTCGCCAGAGACGGTGAAAGTAAAATACCTTACTGAATTTTTATCCAAAAATAATTTCGCAAAAATTTGTTGTAGTGCAAGGTCGCCCGTAGGGGGTGCCAATAGGTCCGTGTCCACCTCCCTGGGAATTCGGTTGGACCATAAAAGTACCAGGCACAAAGCATATGGAATTTGACCACCGGTCACTTTTAAAGAAAATTCGCATAGTAATAGTTGATATTGTGTTGATGATGGGTGCAAAGTCCACAAATGCTTTCTAATGGAGATACAGGGTGTAAAAGTTTGGTACCTCAGCCACTGTGGGTATGCCTGCCTCCACCATTTCACGAAAGTACACAGGGAACGCAATGGAACTTAATAGAGTAATACAATATAAATCACGCCAAAACTTACAGTATATACAGGGTGTCCAAATGGAATGGAAATATGTTGAATAGAAAAGCTATAAAATATATTCGAAAACGGTTTGCGCAACAAAATTGACATGCTAAACGTGATGTTTTCGCCGTCTGATCAAATACAGCCAATCATGGACAACTGTTTCGTGCTTTTTGGCTACCCATAAGCAACAGCAAGAGTTGATCTATTGAACAAAGAGCAAAATCGTGACAAATATTGTTATCAAAAGTGTGCAGCTATCGGTTGGGGCTGTATAGATCTCAGTCCGCAAATTCGAGGCCGAGTCACTATGTACTGCTAGATTTTAGCTGTGAAGTAGGTAGTTGTTATCTTCTTGCCATTGAACAAACGAAATATGCAAGCACCATCTTAGATATCCATTAAGTCCTTTAGAAAACAAGAAGATTGATACACTGTAGGATTGTAATCTTCTTTTATTTAGTTATCTTATCATTTATCTGAATAAATGCTTTAACTTATGCCATTTTGCGCAGCTTTTCATTGCAATTTGGAAACAGCATGGAAAAGTACGCTCTGTCACGGTGCTGCAAAACGCTAAGCGATGTTCTTCTCAAAAAATTTAAATGGAACATCCCATATATTTCAGTTTGTTGTGCTACGGAAAAGTGCAGAACCCTACATATCTCCAAACAATTTGGAAATACGCATCTGTAAGATGTCAATCTCTTGCAACGCAAATCGTTTTCGAATATCTTTTATAGTTTTCCTATCAAACTACTTTCATCCTAGTTCTGACACCCTGTATATATTGTATCTGTTTACGTGATTTTTATTGTACTGTTAAGTCTAGAATAAAGACGAGTTAGTTTTCGTAGAATGACGCAGGTAAGGCTTGTCCACAAGGCCTGAGGCACCAAACTTTAACTCGCTGCGTTTCTGAGCTTTGCACGCATTGGAACATTTGGCCAGAACATGAACCATTACTATTCGAATTTTCATTAAAAATGACCGGTAGTCAAACTCCATATGTTCTGTGCCTGATACTTTGCACACTTAGTATGATTTTGTGTTAAAATTTTGAAAAACTTTAGGAATTGACCCTCGCTCTTCAAAAGGTTTTGAGGGCAGGTACATTTCCACGTCCATGAGTAGTGTAAATATTACAAAAACTATTAGCTACAGAGGCATAAAGTGGTGCACAGCCTTGTACCCTTGAATCAGGTACAGTGTTGTATGTTGTCTTCAACCGATATGCTTTTTATTTAAACCAGCAAGTCCGTGGTAAAGTGGTGTCCTTGTACAACGCACGCTGTTTGCCTCCAGTTTATTGTTAATAGCTTTTAACTTCCTATTCATTGACTTCATCTGGTAAAAGGAGCGGGCACAAAATAGGCGAAAAACTCAATTACGGAACATAATAGGGAAGCACCGGAAGCTCGACGCTGATAAAGAACACTTGTAAGCTAATGGTACATTTTCAGAGGTTTTCAACTTAGCAACGGCATTTTGAGATTTCTGTGCTGCGGCATTCCACTGCCTTTGATCATTTTTCGGCTTGCGATTTTCTTTTTGTGATCGCTTTGGTTTCTATTAGGCGTTATCAGCTCAGCAGCGTAACACACTGAGGGTTAGAAATAGAAAACAATGAGTACATTTAGCTAACTTGAAGCGGACCAGCACTACAGCGCTTCTATGCCGTGGAATATTCTTGACACCTCGCGACAAACTGCTGTCATACTGACAAAGCTATCTCATGGTTACTGCTATTCAGCATAAAAGCGCTACACGCTGTTTTACGTTAACTGGGTCAATCAATGCTTGTGTCTATCACCAAGAAAGCGCAATGAGCTCTGTACATATTTTGACGAGGCTGTAGACGACAGCGTTGTCTCAACTGTTTTTAAAAGCGGCTGACACCACATTCAGCCCAACAGTTTTAGTTTTTTGCCGGTTCAGCCCTTCAGCGCAAAGTAGGGTGCATCCGCAGGCATGTATCGAGTTTTCCAGTTCAAAATATGTACAGATAGGTTAAGTTAAGATCTTTTTATCGTCAATCGTATTGGTGGAAAAGTGTTTGATTTGAAGAAAAACATTGAAAACCAGAGTATACTTGGTTATTGGTACAAATCAGGTAAAATTGGAGTTCCGATGTCATACATCAAAGTAAGCATTTTGCATAAATGGTATAAAGTGTTTAGAATGGAGACCCATGCTTTAATAGTTGTTCGAGTATCCAGGGCGTAAAGTTTATGTTTATGGCCGCGGCATGAACTTAAAGTCCAAAGTACCAATATATTTGTAAGGTGTCATTTACTAGAGACCATATACTGGATATGCGGCCAATATCCACTTGCACGACCGGTCTCGTTGCAATGTAGTCTACCTCTCAAGAAAAGAAATCTCGAAAATAATAACAAAATCATTTAAAACACGACCGTTTTTAGAGTTTTTTTATGGAGATCGCTACAGAAAATATGGGCAAGGATGGGGTGTGAAAAGAAAAGTGCTATTGCAAATGAGAGCGTTTTTTATATAACTCGGCTCGCTTAGATTAGGCAACAGACTTTTACGAATCGTGTTCAACAGTATCCAAAACGGGCAAAATTTGAAAAAAAAATTATCTATCTTCACCCGGTATGTGAATACAGCGAGAGTCTTTTTTCAAAAGGGGGTATAGCTTATGAGGAAATGCGGAATAAGTTGCTATCCACAAAAGCTGAAAATATTATTTTCATTGTAGTGTTTGTTGGTTAAATATATTTCTTTTTGAGTAATTATGTGATAACCTTTTCCATGATTTGGTATTCGGTATTCAGCCGAATACCGAATATTCGAAAATAGCCGAGTATGCAGAATACAGACAAGTAACAAAATATTCATCGCACTTCTATGCCTTACCGCCCAGCAGTGGATAAAAATTTTAATTTCAGATCAATTTCCCTCAAGTATTGGAGAAGCTGTTCGGGAAAATTGGATAGCGAAAGTACTCAACACTTTTTGTCCACGCATATTAGCTGAGATTAGACCAGATATTAGAAATATTAAGTTATCTTTATGTTTATTCTTATTATTACTCCTCTTCAGCTCGATATTCAGGGAAGTAATTCTCTGTTTCTAACATATTTGAGTTTACGAAAGTTTCACATATTGTGTGACGCTTAGAATGGTTTACTGGTCTGAACAAAAGATGGATATGTATATTTGGGGTGTCTTTTTGGATGATTTTTCATTTTCAAAATGTAAACCTAGTGGGTAAGTTGAAAAACGCTTTTTAGCGACACTTCGCCTTTTTATACTTTGTATAAATAAAGCCGGATTATTATTATTATCATTATTATTAGTGCGTGAAAAGTGCAGTACATATGTAGCGCATCCGGTACCTCGGTACTTACGGTTTCCCTGTACCACACGCGACCTTGAACATTGTAGCGAGTCAGTCAAGAGGCGTGTCTTCAGCTCCATTATTTCTGCTTCATTCAGTAAGCAAGAGCGCAAGTATGAAGGCCCAAAACCAAAGAGTAGCTATATCAAGAGAAGACCTTGAGTTTTGTCTGGATTATGATACGGGAGTTGACTGCAAATCTTTGTTACATCATTGCGTACTGACATGATATGATAAACTCTGGTCAAACCTTCCGTATTTTGATGCTAAGGTCGCATGTCCTTTTCCTCAACAGTATTCTAAATCCTTTCCATCTGATTATTTTATGGTGTGTATAGTGATGACTAAAAAATCATTTTTTTTTTGACAAAAAATGGATTTTTGTTCATTTTTTCTTCAATCTTAACTTGTTAACAAATATTAGTACAGCTGTGAAATTGTATGTCAAAACTTAACTTTCTTAGCAGAATTAAGCGGGTGATTACGTTTATTCGTATGACTCAGTTTGCAATGAGGCTTCACGAAAATCGACGTTTTTTCAAAGAGAGAAAGCGATAAGAAAAAAAGTAGTCACCCGCTAAATTCTTCCATAAGCGTGGAATGTTCGCATACAATTTTAGAGCTGTACTATTGTTTGCTAACAAATGAGAATTCCTTTTTTGACAAAAAAGAAACTCGTAACATTGTTTGAGTAATGAAATAATCAGACGGTTTTTTTTTTCAGGAATCTGCGTTCTGTGGTATGATATCCCAGCCAGATAACATACCAATGACAGAAATCAGCTCTGTGATATTTTTCATCATACCAATGATAGTTATAATTTATCAATACATCAAGATGGGCATCGCCATCAAGGAAACCACAACCAACAACAGCTTTGGAAAAGGTTCGGTGCACAGAAAAAGGAAGAAAAATCTACAGAGTAACAAGAACATTGTTAAAATGTTATGTAAGTATAAACACCAATAGATTCTCAGGTATATATCCATTTTCCTTATAAAACATGTTTATGTTTCACATTCATGTATTTGAAAATGCTGTCGTATCATCCGAAACGTCAGTAGAGGTCTTTGAATAGCATCGGTAATTCTAATATTTATTACTACTAATACATATAGAGTAACTGGTAGCATGTGTATGTGTTCCATACTTATCAACAAAGCTCATGTGTCTCGTGATTTGTTTGTATAATCTTAACAATCCATGTATTTTTCTAAGAAACCATTTAGCAGCAACTCTTGAAGATGAACGCTCGAGACTTAAATCTAAGTCACAAGAGTTCACTAAGCTATAAGTTGTCGATTCCCAATAAAAAATCTAGTTTGTATTCCTTATATGTATATATATATTTTTTTTGTGACTTGAGACGTGGTCATTGTCGTCTAGACCAGTTAGGTGAAAAATTAAAGCTTCCGCCTTTTGTTGGGTACTTCGACAAAAATTTAAACAAGGAGGACTCTTTATACTTTTTTATTCTCTCTAGCTTTCAATGGACTTTGCCATCATCATCAGGAGCTGCATTACAACAGTAGCAACAATAGTGTAAAATGAATTTAAATTAACTTACAGTAGTATGTGAGGATGTTGCTAATTGTTGTTTACGTTCAGGATGAGGGAAACACCCAGTAACATGGTGAAAGCTGGATAAATGGTACAATGGTCAAAATTATATAAAATACACACAGCTGTATGACAAGAACAAGTTAAAAACAGATTAAAAATTTTTAGAACATATATATATATACAAATAGCTGAAAAATATCCCTCTCAAATATCGGTATGTCGTGACCAAACACATTGTATATATATTGAAAAATCCACCCCCTACAATGTCCTACCTCACCCCCCTTGAAATGGATCCATACCGCTGCGAACGAAATTAGGGCTGACACGGATATAGTTTGCCGCTCAACATGACACATTGTTTTAAGAACAACAATGTGCAGAACCAATAATGGAGGACATTTTGAACAGCTTCTGTAACATAAAATATGTCCAAACTCTCTATAAGAAACATTGATCTGTCATTTTTATGAATAAAAAGTTTGAAAACAATTTGCATTTTATCACACCCATTTTGACCCATGTTAGATAGCATTTATTGCTTAACGTAGAATACCTAGGATAAAAAAAGCTGTATAATTAGCACAAAAAAGTAAAACTTCACATACTAGTTTTTGAATGGTGTGTGGAAATGCACAAAATAATCAAATTTATTCCATATTTTTTCTGTTTTTGTCTGTCTAAGTGTGTTTAACGGTTAGTATCAAAACAAGTTTTTCAATAATAGCTGGGCCAACATGTCATCGTTCAAATGACGCCAAATTTATCATTCTGTGACACTTATTTACTCACTCAGATATTATAATTTTCATACATGCACTACCGTAGTCGTAACATAAAAATAAAAATGGCTGCCATTTCAAGGGGGATGAGGTAGGACATTGTACGGGGGTGGATTTGTCGATAAAAATAGCTAAAAAATACCCCTCTCAAATATCGGTATGTCGTGACCAAACACATTGTATATACGAGCAGTTGTCATTGCCATTGCCAACGACCAGTTGGGCAAGAAATACAATTAATTATTAATTGTGAAATTGGCAAAAGTATATATATATATAGAGAGAGAGAAAGGGATCATGCGAAAGAGGTATATATAAGAAATAGAAAAATAATGGGCAAAATCAGCAAAAAGGAGGAAAGTGGGTTCGAGCAGAAAATAGGATAGGTAACCCCAGCAATACGTATTTGTGCTTGTTGGCTTCATCAGGCCCAAAATGAACGCTCATATGCAACCACAAAAGTAGATACACAGGCCCATACATCCGGATACGGGTATAACCTGAGGAAACGAAGATGGAGGGGAAAAATGATACACGAAGTTCCCAACCAGAGCCAACCTACACATTGTAGTATAAAATGGCTAGAAGATCGGGAATTTTCAAGGCGACATCTAACCGCGGCCGGTTATAGCCACGTCCTGTAGTACTTCAAGCCCAAAGGATCTACAAAGAGAAAAAGATCATGCGGAAAAAGGTATACGACAAATAGAAAAATAATGGGCAAAATCCGCAAAAAGAAGGAAAGTGGTTCGAGCAGAAAATAGGATAGATAACCCGAGCGATACGTATGAATGTGCCCATACATCCGGATACGGGTGTAACCTGAGGAAACGAAGATGGAGAGGGGAAATCAATCTCACGAAGTCATCAACAAAAGTCAACCTACACGTTGTAGTATGAAATTGCTATTTGCTATATTCCTTTTTCCGCATGATGTAGATTGTAGATCCTTTGGGCTTGACGTACCAAAGCAAGCGGCTATAACCGGTCGCGTGGTTGTGGTTAGATATTGTATTGAACATTCAAGGTTTTCTAGCCAACTATTTACATGATTTTCTCATAGGCACCATTTTTTGCAATATAAAAACTCTTAGTACAAGGTGACGGGACCCCCAAAAAATGATTCCGTATTTTAAAAATGCGCGCCTTTTTATTACGTAAGCATTTTCGTTTGTATGAAGCATGATATGCCGACGACAGTTTTTGACATAAATTATTGATATGCATTTTCAAACTTAAATGATCACCCATAAAAACTCCACCGGCGCGAGCGCAGCTCTTTGGAGTCAAGTACAACTAACTTCGGCACTGGTATCACGTATCTTGAAAAGTGACGTTATATCGACATGTACACTGTCGAATTTCAAGCCATATACATTCTAACAGTAATTACACACAACGCGAACATAACCTGTCTTCAGAAAGGTTTTCTCACACAGCAAATCTCACTGAATTTATACACATGCAGACCAATACACATAATCATCCAGATACGATCTTGCTATTCAACAAGTTTCTTCTCTGAGATAAAAACTATAAACACAGACCACTCGGCCTCACAAAACATATGCAACCAACAATGCGTGTAGTTTAGTTGAGTAATTCCTCCATAGATGGACGTACACAACGATCCTAGTGAGCAAACGTGAAATGACTACGCTCTAAAAACTACCTAATTTGCAAGATGATGTTTTATAGTTTTTTTTGACGTTTTATAGGTTTTTTACATAATACCCGTGCGGGTCAGATATCCCAAGAAGGCATAAATCACTTTATCAGAAACATGCACTAACAACGATATGAATTTATGCCACAAGCCGGCCGCGTAATCAAGATGGCCCAACACATTTTTGGCGAAATCAAGCGATACCGTGAATGTTTTCACTTCAAAATCTTATCACGAAGTCCCATTACTTATGCCTAACTGTAAACCAAATTTTATCAAAAAATAATTATTTTTACCGGGTGTTCTATTTCTTTTGCCACTGAGTATATAAAATTTATCGAAGTGTTTCCAGGAAAGATCCATGTATAGCATTGGTCGCCTACATATTCTAAACAACAAACAGAGTATAAAACAAGAGTGCATAGCGCCAGATAAATCGATGTATCCAGAACACACTGCAGTCTGTCAATTTTTTCACTCGATTGCACTCTACAACGTAAACAAACATAACAAAAACTCAGAAGCCAGTATTTGGAATTTATCTCCAGTCCAGTATGATACTTGAAAAATCCGGTAAAATCACAGTTGGTGTTTAAGTGGAACAATATTTTGCTGATTGTTGAAGAGCTGTTATGGACTTAATAGGCGCATATTCAACAAATCATTCTTTCCTCTTTTACGTGACAACAAAAATGGAGATAGATTGGCTCAGTATTTCCCACGCGTTCAGATATTTCACAGAAAACGGCAATATTTTTGTCTGTTACGTAATGTATCATTGTTCGGTATGAGCGCTCTAGTATAAGTCTGTCAATTTTATATTCCGTTGCAGAATTCATAAAATCGGTAGGGTTTAATACAAGTTGTTCTGTCTGCATACGGCGAAATTTGATCGGATAATGCAATTTATTGTACAATATTGTAAAGCAGTAGTAGGCATAACACATTTCGTTTAATTCAAAAAGCATCGTCAAACTGTCATTGACTTTGAGTGGCTCCACAATATATAGCTACTAACTCCTGACATACATACTATTGCTCTATTTACCCTGCCCAATGCACTTGCATTCTTTTTTTTTCTCTTTATTAAGGGAATGTGATTTTTATGGTCCCTACCACCTTATTTGAGTAAAGACTTCGTTAGGTAAACACTGCATTCATTCATCATTGGTAAATGAGCAGGTCACTAATGTCTTTTAGGTTTGTGTACGATGAAATGGTCACCTCTATGGACATTTTGGAAGCTGCTGTAATCATAAAATGCTGATCGGTCATACTCGACAAGTAAATCGTCATCTCCAATGCTTTTAAAAGTGATCGACGATCGTAAACTAATGCTGCGGCAATGGCGCTAGGAGTTCGACTTTTCCAAAATTATCAAGCTGATACCTTTACCTTTATGTATATTATTCGAAAAAGTGTCACGTAAAGTTCTTCTGAATGGATTGAAGTTATGAATAATTCTGCCCGCCCCCTCCCTTAGAACCTAATTAATCGTTTTTAATTATCTAGGAAGTGTTGAATTTCTTCAAAAAAGCTTATTTTACTTATAAATGCCATCTCTGTTCCTAAAGTGGACCTTAATCACGGAGGTGAAAATCAGTGGAGTATTGAATTTACGTATTTCTACAATAAGACCCTTCTACAGCTCTGCCAGCTTGTGTTCTCTTTGCTTATTTTAAATTTTTTACTTTAAAAGCATCCAACACCGGTTTTGTCAACATCCAATACCAACTTCCTTAGTCAAATTCTTTCGCATCTCTTTCCAGATATCTTACCAATCCCACACATTCCCAGGAGACTGAACATTAATTTAATTCCAGCCCGTCTCAAACAAAGGATCTACTTCTTACATTTACAACCACAGATCTAGAGATCTGCTTTCTGCGGTAAGTTAGGAGATGGAGAGACTCATAAATCGGAGGCTTCTGGAGTATC